TAAAGACCAACATTTTGCTGAAAGTAGAGAAAGGTGAACTTGTGATTTATGGGTTTGAAGATTAGAAAGGGTAGCTTATGAAAAAAAAGAAATTATGATGTCACCTAAGAAAAGGTAACTATAAACGCATTTATAACCACCGTAAAAAAAATTAGTTGTCGCTTCTAAAATAATCTTTTTTTCTTTTCTATTTTTCATTCATTATTCCCTCTGATTTTCTTTCTAATATTCACCTTGCTTTTATTTTGTTAAAATTTCTTTGAGCATGTTATTGGATAGTTGAGTGTCCAAATGACAAAGAATATGCAAGCTCCTTCTGGATCCAATTGTTCTCTGCTTACAGTGCATCTTTTCTCAACCTTGCTTCTCACCTGTCTCCCTCCCTCTACTTTTGTTTTCTGTTCATTTTTCTTTATTTTTAACTTATTAAGAGTTGGCTTGCTATAGTGTCTGAATCCTGAACTGGAGCCAGCTTTAACTGTAGTTTGAAGCACACCACATTTTTCTGGTTTTGAAGGTTTCACATTTTTTGATAGAATTGCATTTACAGTGGGCACAGGATCTAGCCTTTCTGCATATTGACATCTACCAATCTTATTTTCGTTTTCCACAGTTTCATTTATGAACAGAACCCTAAGCTGCACTAAATCTTCAATGGAGACTTCAAACTGGTAACAGCAATACCTCAAGTCTATGGTTAAATATTAATAACTATCTAATAGAGCTGTTTCCAGTCTTGGAAAAAATTGCATCATGAAGTGTACTAGCCCAAAGAAGAACCTTGCTTGAAAGCAACTACATACTTTGCAAGGCTTATGCAGCTGCATTGAAGGTTGCCTTTGATTGTCTGTTTATGTGCATGCTTCCTACTGGGATTAGCAGCAAAGCAAAGAAACTGTTCCTGCATTTACATATAGAGACTTTCCAAAGGACCCTTCAAGTGTCCTAAAGACATGGCTGTTTTAGTACTTCAAAGACAGCTCCTTCATTTGACCTTCCGCATGACCAAAGTATCACTTTTGCATTCTTTGCACAGTCCTGGTTCTGCAAATAGTTTTGATATTCTGTGTTCATGTAACATCTGCTCTGCCTTCTACATATATCTTCAAATAAAATCTGTTCATAGCTATAATTTGCTAGAATACCAGCCTCTACCAGACTGATCTTTTATAGTACATTTGCTAATCTTAAAAAATAATCCAGCCAAGACAAAGTTGAGACAGAGGAAAGGGTGAAGTCAGACTTCTTTCCCCAACCAGCTCAATTTTGTGGAAAATTGGCTCAAACTCTATAGAATCCAATCAATTGCATTGCAAGTTTTTTTTAAGGCAACGGCATTCCACATACAGATTTGTGAAACCATTTGGAAGTTATCCAAGAAACTGCCAGACAAAGTTCTCCAACAATTGTAAAGCATCTAAGTACTTTGCCATTTGATCCATTTCAACTGGCTATAACAACTATAGATTCTTTAGCTATATAGCCAAGAAAGAGCTTGATCTTTTGAGAGAAGGAAACTCAAAGGACATTTCTATAAAGTATCCGTTTGGCTTACAGAAGTTAAAAAGAAGAAAACAATTAGACCAGGTGTTCCCTCTTTGGTTAAATCAAGAGCAAAATTATGCAATTTGGCAGCTAAACACCTCCTCAATTGTTTTTACACAGTCCACAAATATTGGCCCATTTGAAGCATGTTTAATCCCAGGTTTAGTTATTTATTCTTCTCTACAAATGCTTCACTCTTTAGCCAACTGTAGACAAGGAGGTATACAACATAAAAGTACAGAGGATATATACAAAGGAACAGTATTTGCTAATCAATATCCCCCCATATATTACTATTACAGAAGAAAACACTAATAGCACCAGCATTCCAGTTTAAAAGCCAAAAATAATCTTTCTTAAGCTGCACCTCACTTCCACACATGTCTAGTGTAGCTAGACAGAGGTGGGATTTAAAATGGGACAAAGGGGGTCAAGGGGAACGACAGATTGGTTATACAGGTTGCATGTGAAACAGATTACAAATACCTTTTCAGTTAACAATTGCAATGTTAAACCCATTGTTATTAATAAAAGTGCTATCACATCAATCTGATTTTTGCTACCATAGACTAAGAGAAGATACAAAGACCAACACCCTGGCCTAGTCACTGTCAACTACTGTATACTCCCAACAGTTACACCATTAGATCCCTTGATCTGATCTGATCTGATCTTTGGAAGTGTGTCTTTCTAGGTAAGATAACTGGAACTCCACTGGAAGTTGCTCCATCAGATCTGTCAAGGAGATCTGCTATCATCAAGCCAGATCCTGCTATTACCCAGCCAACTGAAAGAACCTTACCCTCTGTCTGTGCACCAGGTGATTACAGAAGTTGGTTGCTAGTTGGGGAAGGGGTAAGTACAGAAGAATCAAAAGGATAATTGAGTAGAAGGTTAATCTAGGAAGGACAGACAGAACCTGCAAGGCCAATAAAAAAGTCTGCTTATTAGCAGATTTATAAGTGAAATTAGCTGCATTAATAATGTAAGCAGCTTTATTTACAACCATCCAGATTTGTGTACAAATAAGCAGCTACAGAAATGGAAATAAATATGTCTTTTTGTAAAAAAATATCTCCTCAATTATGTACACTGCTGAAGAGTAATGTATATCATATGTATCTGGAAGGAAGATCACCTTACATTTAAGAAGCCCCTGGAAGAGTAAGATAAAAAACATATGGAAAACTAAACTTCTCCATCTTATCAACTTAGTGTTGCCTATTCTAGTCAAAGATTTTCTCCTGCCTTCTATGAGAAGTGTCTTTGTATATGTATGTAGGTGCATATAGGTAGATGTGCCAGAAACAACACACCAAAAACAACAGGACCAAGGCAAAATATTACTACTAATAGTAAAATTTTAAAAAACCCTAGTGATTTACTTTAACTCTATAAAATAATGTATTCTATAACTTTTTCATACTCATCAACCTATATCAACCATTATCTTATCATTTTTATGTTTTATATTTTGCGGGTTTTGTCTTGTTGTAAGTCACCTAGACTTAATTGATGGCAAGATGGGCAATATATAAGTTTAATAAATAAATAAATCCCTTCATTTTATGGGACTGTTGTCTTTTAATGTTGACCCATTTCTAGTTTCTGCATCACAATATACAAGTAGTTTCTGTATTATGCAAACCCTGGTTTATATAAACTCAAATTTACACAAAGGGTGCAAAAATGTGATTGCCAATTTGATATATGGAAGAATGTGCAAGGATTCCTGCAACAGAATTCTTATGTAACCCGAGACAGCCTGTATTTGATACTAAGAAACACTGGATAAGGGTTGGTAAAATCAGCAAGTCCTAGCACAGCCTAAACTGAAATATTAAGCAATAACAGTTTTACAAGAAGAAAATGAATCATTTGATGATATTATTGTAAACAATATTGGAGTCAACATAGCAGATCACTTTGTTCTTGACTAAAGAACATTAGAATTTGCTCAACATATTCCAGTTACTACAACTTGATTCAGAGAAGTAGTCTTCCAAATTACAAATTACTACTTCCAAATTAGTCATTTGATTTTTTTCCCTAATTTTCAGTTGTGTATTTTGCACAATTATGCAACTTTATTTTATTTGTGTGATCTACAGATACAAGTGGCATTCAGCCATGCAAGACTGAGCAATAAGAGGTCTGATCATCTTAAAGTTGGTAGAACAATTTGTCTGGAATAATGTCTAGAGGAAAGGAATTAAGCGCTAGCTTGAAAATGGAGCTCTTCCTCTGGCCAATGTAAAGTGCTCTTTTCCCTAATCCTCCTACACTTCCAAAATCTCACCAAGAAAACTGCAGGGACTTGTCCAGGAAATTGCCTGGAGTCGACAATAACTTGAAGATATATGTGTGCGCACACGCAGGGCTTTAATTTCCCTTACAATAAAAATTCCAGCATTTGTCTCCTCCTCTCCATGGTTCTGCTATTTTCATTTTGTCTACTAAGTGTTCTGTACTTGTTACGATCAAGTCAAGGATAGCTGATTTTGTATGCCTTCTTTACTATCTGAAGAAAATTTGCAAACCAAGTCATGTAATTTCTTAAAAGGACCATGCTTGGCAGAATTTTCTCCTAACGTATCTTGGAATAATTCATAGCTCCAATCATAACCATTTTATATCATTTTAAAAGATCTGCTATTTGCTTTTTTTTAAAATTATCTACATGTTCCTTTGGCTAGGTGATTGGCCGTGGACAGTTTCCAGCAAATGTTTCACTTTCTAAATTATATAATAAGAATATATTTTAAAAACAAATTCAGTACTGCTATTGGGCTTTATATATATCTAAAGATTATTATGATAATAATTTCTCCTGTCTATAACAAAGATCTGCTTCTTCTGCTGCATGTTTGGTGAACTTAAGATATCCTCACTTTTAGTTTCAAAGGGAGACTATGAGTAATTCTCGACTTATGACACAATTGAGCCGAAACTATCTGTTGCTAAGCAAGACAGTTGTAAAGTGAGTTTTGCCTCATTTTATTACTCTTCTTGCCATAGTTGTTAAATGACTCATTGCAGTTGTTAAATTAGTAACATGGGTGTTAAATGAATGACTGGCTTGTCAGAAAGTTGGAAGAGGTGATCACATGACTGCAATTGTCATAAATATATGCCAGTTGCCAAACACCCAAATTTTGATCACGTGACCATGGTACTGCTGCAACTGTTGTACATGTGAAAACGGTCATAAGTCACTTTTTTTTACTATCAGTGTAACTTCAAACAGTCCCTATATGAATAGTTATAAGTGAGGACTACCTGAGTATTTTCCTTATTATAACTACTGTTATGCAAACACCCACTAATGATTATATAATTATTAAATATACCACCTGCATAAAATCATGCTATAATGTTCCCACAACCGCCACTTAATTTTCTTTTGCATCCAGGAAAGAGCAAACACAATTTTACACACAGAAATAGTGCAATACCTGCTGTAGCCTTCCTTGGAGAATCAGATAGGCTTGACATCCAGACTTCAGAGCCAAGAAAAGAAGCAGCAGAGAAAGAAGAAAAGCAAAAGAGGGATTAGAGAGAGAGAGAAGCAGTGTTGTAACCATGCAAATACAGAATAGTTTTAATTCTACATTTGTTTGAATATACAGAAGAATTGTCGCCATTAAACTCTAAGCAACGAAACAATAAAATATGTTGCTAAAGGAGAACATCAGCTGATACAAAGGTGTTCCCATGGTAGTTTTGCAAACAGCAGATGTGTTTACTTTGTATAAGCATTACATGTTTCTCTTAGTCAGAAGGTTTGTTTTACAACAATGAAATCATTCACATTTGTGGCAATACCTTGAAACCATCCAAACTGCCATTTTTGAATAAAGCCTAATTTGAGCGTTTTACCACAAGGCCAGACATTTACTCTGTTTTACAAGTACAGACACCAATCCATGAGTTTAGTGAATCATTTCAACCCACTTCATCCTGAACTAATGCTAGAGTTGTCAGGTTATACAGCAGTTCTCAAACTATTGAGCTGACTAGAAAGAATTGGCTGTTTTTAAACCATTATTTTGTGGTATTGGAAATGTAAATTTTTTTATTTCTTAACAAAACTACCGATAAAGGTCTCCCAGAATTACCCGACGATGAGATGCGTGGCATAGTCTCTCAGAACCATAGTCTAAAAAAATTCATTTTCTGCAGCTTTATCAATAAAACCCGTGACCGTCTAAAACTGTATAAATTTATTGATGAAATCTCGCTATCATAGATACAATGCTGAAAAATCTATATAGCTGTAAGTACACAGTTTATAATGTATATATGGTCCACAAGGAGATCTTGATGTGGCTCTGAAAGTACCCCATCAAATCACTCTTTGTCTTGTCTCCATGCCAGTTTTTGGGATGGGGGAACAGCAGTACAAATAGGAAAGTAATAATGCAACTTTTAACTATTATATTAGCACATACTGTTTTAAAATTGAGCTGTGAAGAAATCATATATAACTTCTATAGATGTTTACGGAGACATCATAGCATAAATCACTTGATTCAAAACTTAATGCCACACATGGCCTTTCTGCAAGTGCAAAGGGGAAGCCATCACTTGAAAACTGCTTTGCGTTCCTGGTAGGATTTTTAGTAAAAAAAAAAAAAAAAAAGAACTTCAGTGAGAAGGATTCCCTTTCAGTGCTTCATATCAATTGGAACAAAAATATTATAATGCTATTTTTTAGAACTTCCCCTTTCCAGCTATCTTATTTAACCTTATTCAAAGAATGAATATTTTCCCAAGTACATGTTTAAAAAAACCTTTGAACTTCTGTGATTAAGAATTATAGAGCTGAAATCTTCTCTCTAGATCAGTGGTTCTCAACCTTTTTAATGTCACGACCCCCAACCGGTCGTAAGTTGAGGACTAAACCGGTCGTAAGTCAAGGACTACCCAACCGGTCGTAAGTCGAGGACTTTCCCTGCCTGGGAGCTCCGCACATGCGTGGTGCCGCCCCCTGCGCCGGCCGAGGCGTAGCTGGCAAGCAGCAGAGATGGAGCAGGCCGACAACCGGCTGGGCCACCAGCTCACCCAGTCCAAGGGAGGTAAGGCACCTGCCGAGCCCCACACGCACCAGCAACCCTCCCTGCGCCCGCCAGCCTCCCACCTCCCACCCCTGGCCCTCTTTTACTTACGTAAACTACTTTTAGTAGTTGCTCAGCAGAGAGGGGTGGAAACTTCCAGACAGCTCGCCTTCGCTGCAGACAACTTGCAGCACCGTTTGCAGAATGGGCTCAGCAGGGCAGAGACAGCCTGGACAATTCCTATTGGCTTTTGAAAGCCAATAGAATTAGACTCTATTCAAGAGAGTATATTCTATTGGCTTTCAAAAGCCAATAGAATAAAAGGGAGTAGCACAGCTAAGGAAAAGGGGAAAAAATGGCGGACTGCATTGTTTGGCGACCCCCGTGAAATGGTCGTTCGACCCCAAATGGGGTCGCGACCCACAGGTTGAGAACCGCTGCTCTAGATAGTGATGGCAAACCTATGACACATGGATCAAAGGTCATAGGCCACATTTTTGATGACACGCCAGTGTTCATAAACACTCGACAACACCTATTCTCAAAAGAATGATACATTCTTGTGTAAGAAAGGGATGTGCTTTTGTGCAGCCTCTGGACTGTTTGGAAGTCACATGAGAGAGCTGGGTTTTCTTGAGGCCTTCTGAGCCTCCAAAAATTGCATTAGGTTTTCAGAAGCTGCAGAAGCTGCAAAAAAGCACTCTCCGAAGCCACTTCAAGAATGAAGGCCTCATCAACCCTAGAGTAGCCTCAAGTAGGCCATAAGGGCCTGCCAACAGAAAAAGAGCACTATCTGAAGATAAGTGGCTGGGGAGCATTGGGCTGTGGGGCCAATTGCATCATTCCTCATGGATCACACCTTGGGGAATAGCAGGAGGTGGCCTTTTTGGGTGGCAGAAATGGTGCTAGGGCTGCAGTGAGCCCACAATTGTTCAGAGTGACCTAGATGCAGGGGTGGTGGCTGATATTTTGTCGGGGGGAGGGAAGGAAATGGCAGCATTTTCTGAATGTAATCACTAATACAGAAGAACATATTATTTTTGTCCAAGAATCATACTTGGTCTTTGAGTGTATTTGAGTGACATTTCCCAAATTGTAAAAGACCAGGACAAGACTAAATCTAAATTAATTTATAATTTACTGAAGCTAAAATACAATTACATACAATTATATGATTACTTTCTATGTGTTAGTTCATTTCCCCCTTCTATCTCCTTAAACATTACAATTTGACAGAAATTTTTGGAAGGTTCTGAGAGCCATACTGAAAGCTTGAGGGCTGCATATCATCTTATGTTCACAGGTTGCGACCATTTTTGTTATAAAAGATGTTCTTGGTTGAATTTGCACTCCATGAATAAACCATAACCTAAAACAATCTAATCAGGGGGTTCATCATTCTCTTTGATCTTGGCCTAAGTAGGAGTTAGTATAATTTCTACAACCATGTCTTAGCAGACATTTTAGAAATTGCCTGCCTGCCTGTCTAAATTGCCCATCTTCTTCATAGAGGAGCTAAGGTAAACTTATTATAAGGCACTTTTTCTTGAAAATTACTGGTTGCTCACAAAATCCAGTGTCTTGGTTAAAAGACAAATTCCTGAATAGATATCTATTCCACGTGGAACGCTGTTATCATGCTCTTATATGTACAAAGGTTGACTTGGAAGGAGTTCATGAACAGCAGTTAAAACACTAAACCCAACACTACATATTGTGTCGTGCTTTTGTGATTTGTCTAGATAAAAAGAAACTAAGGTGACAATATAATGAAATAAAGCCACAAAATAATTCCAAGAAGGGGGGGGGGGAATTCAGCACTCCCAACTACCCCTAACAGAGTTTGTACTATCCCTGCCAAAACAATATTGAAAAAACTAAAAAACTTGCACGGATGAAAAATATCTGGAATAAGAAAATGCCTAAGGCTTAGGTTATATTGGAACCATATGCTCTTGCAGTGGCACAACAGTAGATTTTAAAATAGTATGCAACTGACCTACTTCAGGAAGAGAATTTAGAGAAAAAGAAAAGGAAACTTTTAACCTTGAACTGTATTTTGCAAAAACAGCTGAAGTGTAAACAAGTTTTTCACACAATTGCCATTTAATCAGATTACCCTGAATGGTAACTGGTTGCAAATTTTTAAATGAAGCATCTTTCTCCTTTTGCACATGCTCCATCAATAGTAACTGAAGCAAAACAATACAAACAGCTCCCAACATAAGAAATTAAGAACTGAGAAGTGAGTACCTGGCAGAGTACATTGTAGACTTCCAAAGAAGAGATACATTTGCCTCTGGTAAATTTAGTAGACCACCACCACCCCCATGACAAAAAATAGCATGACTCATCTGATAGCACTAGACAGAAGTAAGAGTTAAGAAATAAGAGTGCTTCTGAAGAGGGAAGACAGCTAGTATATTTCAGCTTGGAACATCTGTTTAGCATTACTTCAAAGGATTTCATTTTTAAAAAATAGCATAACAATCATACATATTTTAATTGTTCTCAGCCCATAAAACAGAGATGGGCATCCTACATCTCTTCAGCTGCAGGCAGCATTCAGTCTTATTTCACTGGAATAGAAAGAACCCAGAAGGAGAAGTGGGGGAATAGTTTCAAATTTGCTAAAAGTAATTTGTTCTTTTCTTAGCAGCCTACTGGGCAGGGAAGGAAGAGAATAGGGGTATCCACATAGAAGGAAAGGAAGAGGGTAAAGGATGAAATATGTACTGCAACTGCAATAATATGATACAAATCCTGTGATCCATGCATTTGAAACAGAAGTACAAAAAAGCTTGAGTTTGTGCTGTAATATCACAAAATGCTGAGTCGCTTTCATGTCATTTATTTGATTTTTATTCTGCCTTTATTATTGCTTATATAAAATTAGCCTTCATCATCAATAAAAGAGTAGGAAAAGCAAAACTGGGATATAATCCCCAAAATGACAGAATGATCTCAGTGCGAATCCAAGGCAAACCATTCAATATCACAGTAGTCCAAATCTATGCCCCAATCACTGGTGCTGAAGAGGATGAAATTGACCGGTTCTGTGAAGCCCTACAGCACCTTATAAAATCAACACCAAAAAATGATGTCCTTATCATCATGGGGGATTGGAATGCTAAAGTAGGAAGCCAAAAGATAAGCGGAATAACAGGCAAGTTTGGCCCTGGAGTACAAAATGAAGCAGGGTACAGGGTGATAGAATTTTGTCAAGAGAATACGATGGTCATAGCAAACACTTTTTTCCAACAACAAGAGAAGGCTCTACACATGGACATCACCAGACGGTCATCACAGAAATCAGACTGACTATGTGCTCTGCAGCCAAACATGGAGAAGCTCTATGCAGTCAGTAAAAACAAAACCAGGAGCTGACTGTGGTTCAGATCATGAGCTTCTTGTTGCAAAATTTAGGCTTAAATTGAAGAAAA